ACCGTTCACCTGGCCCCCTGTAGCAGAAACAGCTTTTCTAGCCCTGAAAGAGTTGTTTACGTCTGCCCCGGTGCTGCATCATCCGGACCCCTCCCTCCAGTTCGTGGTGGAGGTGGATGCCTCGGACACTGGCATTGGGGCAGTACTCTCCCAGCGATCCCCCAAGGACCAGAAGCTGCACCCCTGTGCCTTCCTCTCCAGACGCCTGTCCCCTGCAAAGAGAAACTACGATGTTGGGAATCGTGAGCTGCTGGCGGTGGTGGTAGCCCTTCAGGAGTGGAGGCATTGGGTGGAGGGCGCTGCATCGTGTGGACAGACCATAAAAAACTGTCATGGCTCTGCTCCCCTCCTGCTCCCTTTGCTCCTCCTCCTTCCGCGTGTGTGTCTGATGAGGGTACGGCCTCTATTCACCTCACCTGTGTGCTGTCTCACCTGCGCTCAATCAATTCATCAGCCTCAGCCTTCAAGAACCCCGGTCTTCCTTCCATTCATCGCCAGATTGTTCAGCTAACTTGGTGGTAACTTTCGTGGCTCCCTTCAGTGTTTAGCTTTCACCTATATGTCCTCTATGTGATCTCCTGCGCTGGCTCCTCCGTCTAACCATTTCTCTCCTGTGCTCCAGGAACCCTCGTGTGCAGTCCAATTTCCAGAGTCAGCTCTCCTGTCCCTCCGTGTCTCCGGTCTCTCTTGCCATTTCACCTGTCTGTTCCTGCCGTGGCCGCCCCTCATCCCCCCCAGTGTGTGTGTGTGGAATAAAGACCTTTAAACCGTCCATCTTGTCTGTGTGTCTGCTCTTGGGTTCAGTCAACTAGCCCTGACACTCACCTGGCAAACTAATGAAGACAAACCTGTCTGAGATTGATGGCAGTGATCTAAACAGATATGAGAAGCAGCACAATTGAAAACTTTCATTGAAAATCAAAAAGTCAAATGTTTTTTTAATTGAAATCATATTTGCATAATTTGGAACACAGTGTATATAGTCTTAAGTTACCTAGCTAATGTTAGCAAAACACTAGATAACTAGCAAGCTCATCTATCAATCGTTAGCTAGTTAGTTAGCTAACTAGGTAGCTAATCTACATTAATTGTTTGCTAACATCATATAGAGGTGTGCTATAAAAAATAGCAAGAATGTGTCAAAGAGTATTTAAGCATTTAAGTAAAGTAATATTTCCATTAGTATTTGATTTGAAAACTTTTCCTTTGTGGTGCATTTAAGCACAGGATTTACAAAACATAAGTTAGGTGTTTGAAAGTATTGCATTTAAAGGTCCAGTGTGTAGGATTTAGTGGCATCTAGCTGTTTTTAGTGTAAAATGTGCTAGCAGTTCTCTGACATCTTTGTATTAGATAGAACCACTGTAGTGAATGCAGAGAGACAAAATGAATCTTATTTTACGGGGGAAAAAATAAAATGCTACACAGCTTGGAAAGCAGAGTAGATTCTGTACTCTTTTTCTCTCTCCTTTTATTTCTGTGGTTTTCTCCGCTTCCTCCGTCTCCACCCTTCACCTCTCTCATGGCAACAAAGTGGTAGGGTTTATAAAAGTACTGCCTTCAATAACACTACTTCACTAGCTATTACAATGATTTACTTTGGACCATGTTCAGGCCCAAGGATCTAATTGAAAGCAAGCTAGTTTCAAACCTCTTTCAACACTGTGTTGTAAATTCACTACAATGGTCACAAAGTTAGACGAAAATGGCCTTGGCCGTGCAAAGTTTTGTCTCCACTGGGTGATGGTGAACAATGGAGGGAAGCAGACGCTCTTTAGAATGAGGAGAGGAGGCAAAGTTCAAAAAAGTTCATTCACATCGTTCGAGGGCTGGACCAGCAGGGATAGGATGGCCGGACATAAAGGTGTCAGCTACAATTTACTATTACAATTTGGCCATTAAGCTGAACCTCTTATCAACAGTGACTTACAATAAGTACAACAGTTCAGCATTTGTGGATCCAATAATCGCAAGTAGCACAGTAATAAACAAGGGCCAGGGACAACAGCACAATGCTAAGAAGTCGACGTTGAGTGGAGGGAGGCTGGGTGTAAATCAGAAGGGCACCAGAAAGAGAAACAACTTGTGAAAGAGGCTAAAGCACATCTGCCAGAAAAGCTACCAACAGCCTGCAGAAACACTGGCTCTCATTTTCCAAGCTAAAGGAAGACTTTTATAGAGTTTTGCATGCAAAAGGTTTCAGAATCAGAATCAGAATTGGGTTTATTGCCAAATTGCCCCAAAAAAGTTTTTACACGTACAAGGACTTTGCCTTGGTGCGTTAGTGCATAAAAATCAAGTACTTTAAAATAAATAAAGATAAAGATAGAAAGATCTAAAACGGTACAGGAAAACTATTTACAATTTGCAGGATAGAAAAACCAACAGGAGTGCATTACTGTAATGCATATATACAGGTTAGGTTTAAGAGTCAATGTCATTGGGGTTCCGGGCCTTGTTAATGAGACCAGCTGCAGACGGAAAGAAACTCTTCCTGTGGCGTGAGGTTTTGGTCCTGATGGCCTCCTACCAGAGGGAAGTGTTTGCTGATGCTCAGCTTGAGGTCCTGGGTAATGATGGTACCCAGGAAGCGGAAGGACTCCACAGAGTCGACTGGGGAGTCACACAGGATGATGGGGGCGGGTGAGGCTGGTTTCTTTCTTAAGTCCACAATCATCTCCACTGTTTTTGGAGCGTTTAGCTCCAGGTTGTTCTGGCTGTACCAGGTCACCAGATGGTCAATCTCTCATCTGTAGGGAGATCCATGAGATGACTCAGAGATGAGCCCAATGAGGGTGGTGTCATCCGCAAACTTCAGGAGCCTGACGCAATTTCACGATTAGACTGACAACACTTAAGACAGCTTTCACTGTCAGTCCGTGTATTTACATCCACTTACATAACCAGGTAATCAGAGACAATTTACATGCCCTGTAGTGACCTGGTTCCTGTCTATATAGATGGCTTATCGCAGCAGATGACCACTGACCTCATCTTAGAACCATGGTTGCTTACTGATTTTAACCGTATTGGTTGGTCAGTCCTGACTTTTTTCTTTGTTTTTGGCTGTGTGTTAGTGTTGAAACATACTGAGGAGGCTTAGGAGGCTTTTTTTAAGAAATAATTTTTCCAGGACCTTTCCAGGGAGTATTCCAGGAGTTTTTCTTGACAATACAGGACAGCGCTAAAAAACAGTACTTATAATGTACCGGTATATACCCAGTATTGACACATTTAACCCCAGTTTTATTCATCCTTGTTTAATGTTGCAGGGTTCATTATGAAGTGTCTCAGGTTCATTACAGGCAGGTGGTCACTATGTGAGTACATTTGAGCATTCCAGTGCATTGGGTTAGTGTGAACACTGTGAACACTTTTGAAAGTGGTCTTGAGTACAGTTCATGTGTACTAGGGTATGGTTTACATCAGTTGTGAAAACCATCAAACATGTAAGTGGACTGCCATTTAGATCATATCTTTTGTTGTTCCTCTTTAGTTCTGCAAACAAAGAAACAAAGAAAAACAGTTGGAGGCAGTCACTTCCCAGAGTTCATGGCAGGATATGACTGGTAGTTTGTTGGACCAATAGAAGAGTAGCGGAGTCATACCACACAGTTTCCCTGCCGTCCATTTACTGTACTGTACCTGTTTGTTTCAAGCATACTGAACATTTTCCCCACCCAGATCATGTGATCATCAGCTGATCTCTTTACAAGTTATACACTCATTATTCCAACAAAGCAGCCTATTTTAACACCTTCAACAGTAATCCATTAACTGTTATCCTAAATGTAAAGAACATTGAGCCTTCAGTAAACATGTATCCATGCTACTGGCCTACTTCCACTGTTCAACTAGAGGTCTACACTGGTTCAGTGCCCTGAAACTGAAATGATCAGTATGAACTCTGTTTCACCCTCTGTCTGCTCATTTGCCAGGGTCATCAGTCCTCTGCTTTCTCCTCCTTCTATGGATTACAGATTTCTGTCCTATTGTCCCTTCTCCTCACAACTTATTTATTTTGTAAGGATAATGGAATGTGTGTAAAATATGTGTGTTTGTTTGTGTGGACCACCCACTATCTGTGTACAGAGCAAATACATTAGGTGTCATCAGCAAACTTTATCTGGTGTTTTCAAATAAACCATAGAGGGCTGCTGTCAGTCACACAGATCATTAATTACTTCTTTGAAGCCTTCTGTTTTCATTATAGTCTCTGTTTATTAATTAATGTGTTAAAACAAAGTTGTGATTTCAGATTAACATGAGTATTGTGCCTGTACAGAGACTAAAACCAAATTTATACTCGGTGACAGACAGTGGCAATTTTCAGCTGTAGAGTTTTGGTCTCTATAGCTATGGTCCCTGTTCATGACAGCTGTACATGGGGTGATTGACAGTGGGAACTGTTGGGTCTCTGTAAATAATTTTTTAAGGAGTACGATCTAGACCTGCATTATTTTGAAAAGTGTCCTGAGATCATTTCTGTTATGATTTGGTGCTATACAAATAAAATTGAATTTCAGTTCAATCACAAATTACATTAAGGTTTATTTTATTACATCATATTGAGGCAAAGTTATGCCAAATTAAGTGAGTGACAGGTGGGTGTTGTTTTTTTTTTAAAGTATTTTTTGGGGCTTTTATTGCCTTTAGATACAGCTGAAGATAGACATGAAAAGGGGGACAGTGAGAGGGGATGACACGCAGCAAAGGGCCGCAGGTCGGACCCGAACCCTGGGCCGCTGCAGCAAGGACTCAGACGCCAGCTCCACCCACTGAGCTAAGCAGGCGCCCAGGTGGGTGTTTTTAGTAACCAGGCTTCATGCTTGCGACAGCCAACCACACTTTTTAGGTGCATTTGTATTGTTAAGATGCAAAATGTTACTAGGATCCTAAGTTCCCTTAATTGATTAACTTCCTACAATCAGATTCTGAAAAATAATTCATAGGGCATTGTTACCTCACAAAAAATAAACCAGCATAAACAGCAATTTACATAACTTTGCAAAGTTAATCTTTAATTATTTTTGCTAAAAACATCTGGTTGACCTAAGTGAACCTTAGGGCCCACTTTGGACAGCCTTTCATTTAAGTTTAACTCTTTCACATAAATGAAATACAAAGAAAAAAAACACCACAACACAAGATTCTCCACAAAACATTTTGATTAAATAATAAAAAGCCCATACAATATAACATAAGTCACTTAAATAAGTTGGGGTAAGATACAAAAGTTATATAAACAGACTCTACATTACATATATACATAATCCTATAGATACACCTCAGAGCTGATTAAAGTGTTCCATGTATGTGTATAGTGCCTCTGGTTTAGTTTGTTCATATCTTTAAAAAATATATATACACAAATCCAATGTATTAACATCATAATATAAAATGTAAAATACCTTCTTAAGTCATCTACAATATTTACAATTTGATATTCCATAAAATCCACATTGATATAAGTCCAAAATATCAGAATTGCTAGCTTGGTTTATATGTAAATGCAGACTTTGAGCTGTTTCCTAGAGCATGAGCGCTACCAAAAACTCCCCAAGCACCTTGATTATACTGTAGTTCCCCTGTGGATAAGGGGGATAAAAACACAGATGATTTGAGACTTTTGGGAAACCTGACACTTCACTCTACACTGCTTTTAGGAAACACAACCCTTCGTCATCTCACTTTAATTTTGCACATAGCTGGTGAACTTGGTTGGCAGATTGTCCACAGGATAGACAGTAGGTCCGGTTTTCATGGTGGGTGGCCCATTTAAAAGAGTCCAGTGACACTTTGTGACCACTTCCACCAGGAAGATCTTTAACAGGACCTTGGCAAACTCCTTCCCCACACACATCCTGGAGCCCCCTCCGAACGGGATGTACTGGAACCTGGAGGAGTCGGTGGAGGGTTTAGTCATGAAGCGCTCTGGCTGGAAGTCTTCCTTGTTGGGGAAGATCTCTGCCACATCATGGGTGTCACAGATGCTGTAGATAACATTCCAGCCTTTGGGAATCTGGTAACCCTGAAATGGTGAGGGGAAATGATCAGTAAGCAGGTTTGATACAAGACAAAAATCAATGTTTCTTCTTGTTCCTGCAGTGTGATGTTTCATGCAGAATTATGTGCACATTCATCTGTTACAGTGGAAAGTCTCTGTGCTCACAGAAAATCTGATTTTAAGAGTTTTAATCCTGGTCCAACATGCAACTTAAATCCACCAGTGCACATATACTGAGAATGAACATTACAGGGAAGTAGGAGACATCTTGTGTCCAGCAGGAAAACTTTAAAAATTAACATTTGGATATTCATAAATTCTATAAAAAGGAGTAGATGTCTTTTTAAGCATTTTAATGTGAAAACTATACATTTTTGCAAACAAAAACATCTCAAAACACACAGTATTGTTCCAAGCAGACTATTTGTTTTATGTCTTAATACATGTCTGGAGGGGATCTTTAACTTACATTGAGCTCAAAGGTCTTGAGGGCCACTCTGAAGCCTCCTGGAACAGGAGGGTTGATCCTCAAAGTCTCTTTAATGACACAGCAGGTGTATTTCAACTGTTCCAATGACTCAATGTTCAAATTCTGGAGGTCTATCCCCTGCTCCTCCTGAAGACAGATACAAATAGGTGGGTAAGGAGAGGCACAGAACAGTATTAACTAAAGTTTCATCATAGTTGGAGAAGAATTGGAATCAAACCATTATGGGTGATGCTACAAACTAAAAACAATCTATCCATACTTCACTTGTTAACTGTGGGTTAGTTCATTACCTCTGCTGGCCTTACAGGTTCAGACAAGCCTGGTTATCCAGTAAATAATCAAAGCAGACTGGGGAAAACCCCCATATATGCTGTTTATGTGAGCAGCTCAGAACTGTTCACCTGACCTGGCTTCATGATCCGGCTCCAGATCAGGGTTTAACATGTTTGTCTTTACTGAGTAAGCTTTGATAACTATCTCTATGACAAGATACTCAGTCCATTTACTAGAGCTCCAACAAATGGTCAATGAATTGATTAGTTGTCAACTATTAAATGAAGCTCCAACAATTTTGATGAAAAATTTTCAAATTCTCCAATTTCAGCCTTTTAGTCCTCTGACAGAACTGAATATCTTTTTGTGGACAAAACAAAACATTATAGGATGTCACCTTGGGCGTTGGGAAACATTGATCAACATCAAATTCTGATATTTTATGAACCAAAAAAACTGAATAATTGAGAAAAGGATCGCCAGATTAATCCATGATGCAAAAAATCGTTAGTTACAAGCCTACCCTCCAGGGTTTTCCACCATATCTCATGGTCTTCCTCCACAGACAGTTTGCTCAGTGGTCATGGAGAATGTCATCACAAGAGCCAAGTATGACAACTGAGAACTTTAATTGCTGAGCATGACCATGAAATGTAGTTGAAAGCTCATGAAACAATAATAAGTAGGCTTTGAGTTTTTTTGCAAGGTCAAGAATGGCCTTTTCCATCCCTAGCTTAATGATATAATATGACTGTTCATTGCATCAGACTGTCGGTTATATTGATTGCATAAAGACGCAACTGCAGCACCTGCTTACTTATAGAATTAAAGTTTACCTTGTCCATTAGTTCCTGCCTCAGTCGATCCACAACTTCAGGGTTCAGGCCCAGGAACATGACCAGAGAGGTTGCAGTACTGGCTGTGGTTTCATGACCTCCAAACAACAGCTCTGTGGCAGATTCCTTAATGGCCTGGAAACAAAAATGTAGACAGGTTTAGTTCAGGGCCCAACTAACACAATGGTTTATAAGAAGGACTTTGTCGTTTTATGAAGTAGATGAGAGATGTGACTGTGTGACTACCTGCATGCTGAAGGGTTCCCCGTTCTTTTTGCTGCTGTCTATGAGCTGCTGCAGAGCATCTCTGTGTTTGGACCCTCTGTCCGACTCCTGCACCTTCTTCTTGATGTTCTCTTCTATCTTGGAGTGGATAAAGTTCCTTGCCTTCAGACCCTGGAGGACAGGAAGACAGGAGGAGCAGGGAGGGACGGAGGATGGTGGGTTGGGAGAGATGACAAATGAAGATGAATAAGACAGGCAGCTATTGACTTCCATTTATTCAGTTACAGTATGAAAATCTAGATTCACTTTACTGCAAAATTCTTCTACTATGCAGTCATTAGTTTATTTACCAATCCATACCATAGTATAATAGTCATGCATCTAAGCATGTCTCCTCACGGTTCACTTTGACATTTGATCCACATGTATAAAGCTTTTTGCATGGTAAATGGACCTGTACTTGTATAGCGCCTTTCTAGTCTTCCGACCACTCAAAGCACTTTTACACTACTTGCCACATGCATTTCACTCAGTGATGGCAAAGGCCATTGAACAGAAATGCATACACATTCACACACCGATACACAGCACTGAGAGCAATTTGGGGTTCAGTATCTTGCTCAAGGATACTTCGACATGTGAGGGGAGGAGCCGGGGATCGAACCAACAACCTTCTGATTAGTGGACGTCCCGCTCTGCCTCTGAGACACAGCCGCCCCTGCATGCATGGCAATTATCTGTTTCATGCTTACCCTGTAGAGTCCGCTGAAGGGCACGTCGATGGGCAGAGAGAACAGATTCTTGATCATTTCCTCAAAAGCTTCCACCAGCTCCTGCTCATTGGTCTTGATCTGCTCTGGCTCAAAGCCCAGGAGTATCCTCATGGCTATGCGGAACATCAGACGCTTCATCTCTGGATAGACCAGCACACAGGAGTCCTTGGCCAGCCACTCCTTCACTGCAGCCTGTACCTCCTCCTGGATGACGGGGATGTAGAGCTCCAGAGCCTCCCTGGAGAAGGCCCGCATTATGGCCTGGAGAAGGAAAGAAGGGAGGTTAGGTAAATGAAAACAAAAGATTTCTAAATAAATGACTTACAAGTTACTTTTTGGAGTAGATCTTATGTTAGTAGTTTGCCTGTAATTCAGTTCTTAAAGTTTATTTTTCTTAAGCAAATTAAACAGTAAAAATATATTTCAACCTGTTTCAAGTGCAAATACTACTTTGCTAAGTCTTAGTTTTCTTCATTGTAGTGCAGGAACCTACATTACTCTACAGACACTCATTTCTAGAAAACACTTAAAGCGGATTTTTATCCGACACACTGGCAGATTTTTTTCACTTGTTTTAAGAAAAATATGGATCCAAATTAAGGATCCAATGGTCATAAATGATAAGGCTGCACAATCGATACGACCATTTATTATTTAATTACTTGAAATAGTTACAGCAATAATGCTAGATGTTGTGCTTTGTATTATAAATGAAGCAAGATCAAGCTGGCCAGAGGAAGAAAACAACAAAGGAAACTAACTACAGGCTGAGACATTTATCTACTCAGTAGCAGGGGTCGATCTAGAGAAATATACATGAGATGTCCAGAGGGTGGAATGGAGACTTTAAAGGGTGGTAGAAATATATGCTAATTTAATCACAGACAATCACATATATCTATATTTGCTTGGAAAGCCCCCAGATGAAGAACTCTTAGTCTAAAATGTGGCCATAACAGACCATTCAATGAATTTATGTTAACATGTATTTTTTTATTAATTTAAATTAATGTTAGTGTTACTTAACAGGATTTGACACCCAACTGGGTAGCTACCACCCCATGCAACCCCTCTAAACCCGCCCCTGTTACTGCGCAAACGAGAACTCAAAATTAGATTTAAACCACTGAAGTAAAGCCAGGAGGGTTTCACATGAATTATCTTACCTTTTTCTTGGTCTTGTGTTGGGCTCCGTGCACGTTGGATAAAGTGTCGGAGCCCAGGATGGTGCGCACAGAGGCGGGCCACTGCACGGACACCAGCCTGTGCTCCCCCAGCAGAATCTGCCTGACGTTATCCGCTCCCGTTACGCGCACCGTGGGGTTTCCGAAGAGGTGTGTGCGGTAGATGTAACCGTACTTCTGCCGCTTCATCCGAAGGAACTTTCTCCTCTGCAAACATTGACACACTTATGTAAACCAATGCAAAATGATAACGACACACAGCTCAATCAATACACACAGACAGAGCAAAAACCGATCAATAAAAATCGATATGTAGGCTATTGAGTTTAAAATGTATCTCTACTTTGACATAATCAAAGAATATGTCGAAATCTTAACAATTAAATTAGGCAGTGTCAGAATGGTAGATTTAAATTAAAACTTCTTCCAGTGAAATAGATCTTTAACCTGTGAGCGCCTCATGGAAGCGCACAAAGTTGAAATCTGTTTGTTTACCAAGATTAAATCAGCTGAAAGCCATGAAAAAAAAGTGCAAATCTCATTTCCTAGCGCCTGGAGCATCCCACTGATGTCAGGCATCAGACAGTGTTTCCGTGTGTTTACCTGGAGGATGAGCTGCAGCGTCTCTCCAATGAAAGGTAAGCCCATGGATCCGGGGGGCAGCGGGCTGGAGCAGCTCGGGTCTCTGCCTCGGATCATGTAAACCTCCCACAGCTTCACTGCGACTAGAAACAGCAAGACGGGAAGCACGATTGTGCAGAGGAAGGTAGCCAGTAGTGTGCTCAGAGCCATGTTTGCAGTGACAGGCGGTTGCAGGAGCGGTGCAGCTCAGGTGAAGCTCTGTCAGCGACAGAGGCTCCGGGCTGCTCATCCTGCGCTTTTATAGGCTGCCAAGACCGCGGGCAGCCTGTTACCTTCTCCTCCCTCAGATAAATTAGTTCACTCAAAGTTCATCTTTAATTGTGGGTGTCGCTCGGCCCCGCCTCCGGCCTGTACTGGCTGCCTTGCTTCGCCATTTGTTCCAAGGGCCGCATCTTTAATCCCTACCTCCTGTTGCACGCAGACAATCCGCGGCGGATTTCACTGAGAAAAGGTGATGGTTCCCTCCGAGACAATGGCAGTGCGTCCCAAGACGCCTTTGTTGCCAATAAGGCAGCTAGTTTACACACTCATTACCTTGGCTTAAGCCCCGCTTGTAGGATCAGTAATCATGCCTGCAGGGCGGCCCGCATTCAAGAGCAAAAAGCTTTTAAGCAGCACATTTTCAGCTGCTTCAGAAAATGGAAAAGAGGTCGAAGAATGTCTTAATCCCTCTCCCTGTGGCTCTCACTGCTGCCACTCAAAGTTTATTCATTCATTCATTTCCTATTATTTTATAGGCTGTCCCTGCACCAGTCGCACTCTATCATTTGATTTAGATGCATTTGAACCTGTTTACAGGTTTCACCATGTGGAGCTGAAATGATTCAACCTGTCTACCTGATCCTGCCCTCTTAGGGCCACATATTTAAATTTTAAAGGGTCAAACTTCTGAGTTTAAATCGGAATAAAGAATTTAAATAAATGTTTCAGATATGGCCCCAATCCCCTTCCTTCTTGCCTTCACGATGTTTCAGTGTAACAATGCGGCCGGGAACCTCAGCTCTGCCCCCTGCTTGACTCACAGTTTCTATCAATCTGCTTGCAGATTGAACCTCTTCCTAATCTACAGACTTTAACCTGCTTTCTCCCCCGTGTGTGTGTGTGTGTGTGTGTGTGTGTGTGTTATAAAAATGATATCTCTCTCAGCGGGTTCAAACTTGGGTCAGCAAAGACAGGCGGAGGGACGCGCGCACACACGCACGCACGCATATGGAACGCAAGGTTATCCCCGGGCTACGCCGCATGAGAAGTAAACACCGAGGAGAGAAGGCGCTCATCAGCCGAGTCACCACATCCTCGCTCCGCATTTGGACTCTTGTGTTTTTTACGACCTGCCATAACGCCAGGGCGTGTGTTTATGTGTGTGTGGCAGGGTCAGTGACAGTGAGACAGCTTGGCTGCTGCTTTTACAAGGACGCATTACATGGATGGATCTGTCTGTTCTGGCCGACTGTGTGCGTTTGTAAAAGAGGGCGCCCTGAGCTTCACCCCGGTGGGAAGGCACGGCAACTGTCACCGTTCCAGTCTCCCAAAAGCCTGCACATATAATCTGATCTATCATTGGGTGGATGTAAAATTCCATGACTTTGACTTTATGCTGGTTACACTCAGGGCACTGGTATGGAAGCCCATTTCCGCAAATGTGAAGAAAAAAGAGATTATGTAAGTCATTATAATGAGAAACTATCACAAGAAAATGACTTTGTGATACTAAGTCAAAATATTAGGATACCGAGTCATTATTTTGAGAAAATTTCTTATTAAAATGACTTACAGAATCTTTTTTGGGCTTTCATACATGTCCTCTGTATTCAGAGGTTTTAGCAACATTCTACAGTGAAAAACCTGGTGCATGTTTTTGAGACTCATTCAGTCTATTTTGGACTCTGTGACTATCTCTAGGCCAACAATAACAAAAATGTATGATTTATTAAGAGCACAAATTAGCTACAAGGTCTCAAATGACTCCCACTTCCTTTCACTTTTAATGCAATGTGTACAATTTCTCTTATTACCTGGTACTGCATCCATCAGATCAGATCAAGTAAGTCATTATAATATACTGGGGCATATCAACCCCAGTGAACAATGTAACCTTAGCAAAGGAAATAGAAACAGGATCATATCGTGCTTTAGTGGTACATATTCCCAAGCAATGTTTCAATTTAACTAATGTTTCAATTAAACTAGTACAAACCAGTTGACAAACAGTAATCGGGGGTTCCAGGACTCCATGGGCCCCAGGACAGTACCCAGCTTTATTTTACATGTCCTGATAATTTCCTAGAACATTTCCTGGAAGGACTACACAATCTGATACTAATAAAAGGGGAAACAGAGTATTCTGAGACAGTTAAGGTTAGTTCATAAACAGCTTTTTAGAAAACTCCAGTTTTCACAGGGATTTCTTTAAACAAACAGCTACATACAATCAAACTTGCAGAAAATAGTATTAAACAACTATCTAAATAAGTAGACTTTTTAGAAATTTGAAACATCTGAATGAAAAATGTATACTTTATTTGGGCTGGTGAAGGGTGGAGGGGAGTTAGGAGTTTGTCTCATGACCACAGTATTGTGGGAATAACATCAGAAATGTGCCAGAACGGAACAACAGGTGTAAAAATAGAGGATAAAATATGAAATAGAAAACCAAACTTACTAAATAAAACCAGAGGGTTGGGGTGTGCCTTCCTGACACCCAATTCACTTCACAATGATGGTCGTACACACATTCCAACTTTCCCATCTTGTTGCAGTCTGACAGAAAAAGTGAAAATATGACATTATTGTATTTGCTTTTATTACTGACAGCAGCGGGTGATGCATGGTCAGGGTGAATGGGTTTCCAGCTGGTCGGGCTGTAACTGGTGAGTTTTTCTCATCACAATGCGAATGTGTGAAACAGGATTCTGTTGCTCAGGTGTGATAAAGCAGGGAGGAGGATGAGGAGGGGGTGGAGGGTGGGTGGTTGAAGGGAAGTTCAAGTGTAGAGAATAGCCCTTTTTAAATGGCATTTTACACTGAACCAAACAACGTTCCAGAAGTAAAAGAGACATCTTGTGTGACATTTTACACAGCCATTGATTTAGCTATGTTGCTACTTCCACTGCAGACTTAACAGCATTATTATTATTATTATTATTATACTGAACAACGCTGTGGAATAACAGGGCATAATGATTCCTCGGTCTACCTCACCATGCTGCTCCATAAACTCACTGTAAACCCGATGATCACCTTCTGGACTAGGGCTTTCACAGGGAAAGAATTAGCTAAACAGCACGATATGTGGTGTTAGCGCCATTTTTGTTGTTGTTGTTTTCACAGATTATTTTGTAAGAGGTACAGCCGGATAATGTTTCATCTCAGTACCTACTTGTACTAATCACCTGCACTCTCCCTACTCCTGCTCTTGGGTCTACTGGTGAGCCGCAGTACCAAAACATTACAATTGTGGAGAATTGGAATAATTAGTCTAAAACCAGTCTTTGTTTTCAACTAAAAGACGGCTGTTAGGAGTGAGTGATGGTACTGTCCACAGGGGCGTTTTTGGAAGTGAGGGGTTGGGCTCCTTCACGGCATTGGACGCTTGTAGTCCTATTGACCAACAACAGGCTCCACCCTTCTACAACTGTGCAACCACTTCCTGGCTGCAGCTGATTGGACAAACGCTTTCTGCTCCAGGATTTCAAACTGCACCAACATGGCGGGTCGTTTGGAAATTGTCTCTTATATTATGAAAATTAATCACCGAAGACCTTTCAGACGTGAAGTAAGCCATGCAAATGGGTCTAATACAATCTAAGTATTAGTAAAGTACCCATAAGAAAAGGATAGTAAGTATTAAGTTATTACCAAGTAATGCATAAAAACCAACCAGCAAAGATTTATATTTATATTTATTAATTTATTTGCACAATAAAACACAATAGAATGTAGTACAGCCAGGAGTTGGCACTGTAACACAATACAGTGGATGAACAGTATATATAATCTATATAAATAAAAGTGTTTAGTTGCTCTCTGCTGCTTGTTTCACAACTACAGCTGATTCATTCACACACACATGCACACACGCACACAGATCTGTTAATGTGTTTACTGTTATCACTAGTCATACTTAACTGCAGGGCAGAACACGCAGTTCAATAAAACACACGAAAACACACACACACACACACACACACACACACAAGAGAGCGCGCAGTCAGCACAAGTGCCGCGTGTTTGTGTGTCTCCTCCCTCCCTCAGCTCGCGCGCTGGCTGACCTGCTTCTGACCCTGACATCTCAGTGAACTCTGGCGCGCAACCAAGTTCACTGGCCGTCAAACAGAAGAGAGAGAGAGAGAGAGAGAGAGAGAGAGAGAGAGAGGCGAGGGAGGGGGCACAACAGAGAGAGAGAGGGGGGATGGGGGATGGGGAGCAACAGAGAGAGACTCTAAAGGCTGTTACACACTCGCTGTTCCCGACCTCTAGCGCTGTAACTATCTATATTTGCATGTGGTGGTCGCGACACTAGTTGCAGTCTTCTCCTGAACAGAGGTGTCGCAACTGAGAAAAGGCTACTGACTTTGCTATTTCTACGCACTAGAAGAAGAGGAGGTCACGGAGGTTCTTCCTCTTTTCCAACATTCATGGCAATTTCTCGCCATGAATTCTGGCACCTCTGGGCATCTCTGTGTTCCTTCATTGAAGGATCATACAGATGCCTGTAGAGGCGCACTTGCTCAGAAAGCTTGCCCTCGAACTCGTCCATGTTCCTGTTTCCGCTTTGGCGCGCTCAGCTGAAAAAAATGGAGTTGTGTGCGACCTCGTGCGACCTGGCCTAAATCCTGGCACGCCAGCGAGATCTATGTCATTTTGACGTCACATTGTCGCGGGACATGTCGGGAACGGTGAGAATATAACAGCCTTAAGGCTATGTTCACACTGCAAGACTTAGCACCCAATTAAGATTTATTGTTTAAATTAGATTTTTTTTTCACATTATTTTTTGAATGTGGCCCATATCAGATTCCAGTGTGAACAGGTCATGGTCCTGAAGTGACCTGCAAGAGGCATGTAGATCTACAGTGACATAAAAGTCACATACACTCTGGCAGGACCGTTTGTAGCTGTTTGGGGGCCCCTATTTTTTCAAACTCTGAGGTAGAGATTCCTAACTTTTTCAGATATTCTGTGATGATGCAGCAGTCTGTTACATTTTAAGAGTAAAGCAGGCTAGAGTACATTAATAAATGCAACAGATACAATATGTTCTTGAAAAATGTTTAATGTAAACTTTGAGGTGGCATTCCAAAACAATAAAAAATAAATAACTAAACTTACTTAAATAAATAAGTATATAATGGACCAGCATCCATGTTATTGCACAATCAATAAAAAATAAATAAAAAAACTAGTTATGTAGTTATATATTGTAGTTGTAGTTAAAATGAACCATATATAACTGTACAACATCACTACTTTGTGATCAATTCAATTCAATTCAATTTTATTTGTATAGCGCCAATTCATAACAGAAGTTATCTCAGGACACTTTTCAAATAGAGCAGGTCTAGACCGAACTCTTTAACATTAGGATCAGGATCTGTATGATCAGTCTTACGTTCTCCTCCTCAAAACTTCTGCTTCCTGGTCAGAAGCTGATGAAGGTCCACCTGGCTCTCCTTGAACTGGACCTCTGAAGTAGGAAATTGCTCCTGCAAAGACAAAGCTCCTTAGGTTACCAAGCAATCAGAAGCAAATATTCATATCATATAACTGCAGCAAGTGCTGCACTATGCAAAACATTCTCAATTTATTTTTATATTAAACATTACAATATACAGTCTCCCTGTTTAAGAATCTACCAGTTTTTCTGTGTTTATCTCCACATTATACTAGTTCATTAATAAAAATGAATTAACTAGGGGATATGGGAAGGGAATATGTTTGCATACATCTTGCAGTGCATTACAAAGTGGACAACTAGCAGTCGTATGCAGTACAGGACACTTTAAATGAACAGGTTTGTTCAGATTAGTAAACTACATTGTCACAATATAATATTCTAGTAAATTTGGCAAGGGGAATTCAACTGAGTCAGCAGATTTGTCCAGTAACCAAACCACAGTAAATCAAAATACAATAGAGCAAAGAATTGAAAATATTTTATAGCACAGTGATCATTTAAAACTCATAGTGTTATATGAATAATCCACTGCTATACTACAGGTAACAATAATCAGTCTGATAATAATTGGTTTTATTTATACAATAGTAGCACAGGTCTATGCTTGAGACACATTTATTTGAGCCTTTTTGTAAATCAAACTCTGGATAAAGCTGACTTTATTTACAAACAAACAAACAAACAAACATAGCCCGTTAGCTGAGGTAGCTCACATTTATCTGAGGCTAGCTGAGCTAGCCAGCATGACAAAAGTAACAAACTAACTTGTTCAGAAGTTGGCGTTATGTGTCTCCCCCCCCCACATCAAATGCCTTACCTTGATCCTGTGATCGGTTTTCTCCTTTTTTCGTTTCTCTGCACCAGACGCAGAAGTACGTTTCAATGACGTTGTAATCAGCGTCTACCTTTATTCTCGTCACTTCAGTGGAAGGTGGGCGGCTGTCAATCATCCCGTCAGACCTGTCGGCAGACGTCACTTACCACGTGACAGCCCAGTCCAAAGGTGATTGACCTGATAACCCAACGAACACTTACATGCTTTGCAAATAAATGCATAATGAATGCATGCAATACATGCAAATAAAGACAGGTACTTTTATTTCTCCAAAATATAATAAAATATGAGGCTGAACTTGCAGTTTGGGGGCCCCCTGGTGGCTGCGGGGCCCTATGCAGCCGCATAGTCCGCATAAATCAAGAAACGGCTCTGCATTCTGGTATGACTTTACACTGAGGTCACACTGCAAAAAATCTAAACTCTCTCAATACTTTGACTTAGTATCTCAAAATAATGACTTAGTATCACAAAGTCAAAACATTTCTCATTACGGAATCTTTTTTTTCTGTCACATTGGCAGTAATAGGTTTAAATAAAATACATTTCCTATATATACACATTTTTTTAAATGTTAAAAAGTTAGTTTTATGAGAACACTATATTGTTTCAGTTAGATTTTGTTTTGTCTACTTAGTTTCTATTTTTATTTCAGTTAACTAAAATGTTTTTTCATATTATGTAAACAACCTTGGACTATGCAACATTATGTGAGAGGGAACTGAAAATGTATAGTACTGTGTTCTCATACATTATACAATTTAATGAATTATAATATGAGTGGCATTAGGAATGCTGTGTTAGCAGAAGGCAAGGCACACAAGGATTTTAAGTAATAACCTTTCCTCTCTTTTACAACTTTTACGATGACCTTTGTGAAATGCAAATGTGGAGAGCAATCAACTACAATTAAAATCCCAAGAAACCTAAAGAAAGCTGTTTCTTGTGGGAAATGCAAATGTAAAACAGTATGAGGGATTTCTTAGGGCCCTTAGGAGCTGCTTACTCTAATTGTACAGCTCCTCAAGCTGGCTATACGGGCTACTGAAACACCAGCACACTCCACAATGGTGGCGTGCCCCTTTAATTATATTTTCAGTCAACAGTCAAAAATGGGTAGAGAATATGGACCTGAGGCTAAGAGAAGAAGCTAATGTAAATGGACTGTACTTATATAGCGCCTTTCTAGTGTTTCGACCACTCAATGGACTGTACACTACATGCCACACTCACCCCATTCAGCCACATTCATACACTGATGATTGATTGATTTCCCTTAGTTATGCTGCTATAGGCCTAGACTATCGGGGGATTTCCCATGATGCACTGAGCTCCTCTCTTCCTCTTCCTCTCTTTCTGAACTCATTTATGTCCCATTAATGCATGTTACTAACTTCACTTCTTCCCTGGAGTTCTTGTGCTTTCTGATCTCACAGGTTCTCAGGGATCCTGGTGGAGCCTCCTGCCATGGTCCTGCTTGACTCCCACTGCTAATATCACTGATATTATTAGGGACTGAGCCAGTGTCACACACTGTGAGGTCTCTATTGTATTTGCTAAAGTTATTATTATTTGTGGGAAATGTTCACTGCATTTTTGACCCCCTGAACATATACTTCGGATGTATTTTATTTGGAAAAGTGGTCAGGCCTGGTTAAAACTTGGATATTCTATGTGTCACATTCGGCTTGGCCACTAGGTGGCACTACTATAAAGAAAAGTAGGTTTAGGCTAATAACTCCTGCATCGTTTGTCTCACATTCAAAAAACCTATATCCACGCGTTTGGTGAATGGAGTTACATCTCCCTATATAGGCCACGCCCACTTTCGTCTAGATTTTTTTTCCGCTAGAGCGCGAAATGTCCAAAAACTACGTTTTTCGTGTTCCATCCATGCACTTTTGTCTGATTCGCATGAAACTTGTCACGTAGCATCTGGAGACCGTCCTGGCAAAAAAACAAATTTAAAGTATTTTGATATTTCAGAAAATAAGCACGTTATAATATTAGCACTTTCTGTAGATTATTATTATAAGTGGAGCATTTCTCCACATTGGTATGTCCAATTGACACCAAGCTTGGGTCCATAGATCCACATGTCTTCAATTCAGCCGATTCGCCATAAAACAGTACTCATAACTTCAGTGTGCAATGTCCAATCTCCAATAAACTTCATATATTCTGTAACAGTCTGAACACGTCCTCATAACTTCAGCGTACGTGGTCCAATCTCAATGAAGCTTCACGTGTTTGATAACAGTCCCGCCCTGAACAGGACTACATGACAATATTCAGACATAGTGATAGCGGCACCTACTGGCAACAGGAAGTAAGCGCTGCGTGGCTATCTGATTTATCTGAAATTTTCATGTTGTGGTCCGCACGTGTTAGGACGGCACGTGACGCGTCCGCAGCATGCCCCGAATTGCGTGGAGTGCGAGGTCCCGCCCAACGCTGCTTGCGGCTTTAATTACTAGTATTATTACTACAGTTACTATTATTACTATAATGGTAAATGGACCTGTACTTGTATAGCACCTTTCTAGTCTTCTGACCACTCAAAGCGCTTTTACACTACGTGAGACATTCACCCTTTCACACACATTCACCCAGTGATGGCAAAGTCCATCGAACAGAAACTAACATTCATACACGGCATCGGGAGCAATTTGGGGGTTCAGTATCTTGCTGAAGGATACTTCAACATGTCGCACCAGGAGCCGGGGATCGAACCCACAACCTTCCGATTAAGGAACTGCCTCTGAGCCACAGCCGCCCACAATAATCACTGCTCATTGTCCCCCATCGTTGCTGTTGTCATTGCCATCATCTTTTTCATGTTCATCACCATCAGTCACTACTATTAGTGTAGTTGTTGCTACTGTTGTTGCTGTGCACCTCTGTCTGTCTGTCTGTCTGTCTCTCTCTCTCTCTCTCTCTCTCTCTCTCTCTCTCACCCCAACTGGTCGAGGCAGACGACCACCTACCTAAAGCCGAAGGATCTGTCCTAGGTTTCTGCCTGCTGTATTGTTGAAGTACATGTGTTTACTGCCTTGTTAAGTGTTTGATCCCTGCACTAAAACACTTGTCACTCCTGTTGACATGCAGGAAGGAAACACTACATTGAAACACCCCCCCTTCACTACATTGACACAGGAACACAATATCTGCTTGTTTCACCCTCATATAATTAGTGAATCCAAGCGTGCAGTGACTGAATGGCAGTGTTGGCTTTATAAATCAGATCCAGGCTTGTTTTTATGAAGGATCTCAGAATGCACTTAAAGTTGACATAGGACTAAAAACACTCAGAGTAGGACTGTAGTAGTAGTGACAAAGCTTCCTGCACTGACTTTGAGTCAGGGACGTTTTCATAAGTTTTTGACTTGGGTGGTGCACTAACCTATGCAGGGGTGACATATGTCTTAGCTTTCCAGTTATTCTAGTTTATGCAGTTCCAACACTGCTGATGGAGCCCAGTCTGCAGGCATATTCAAGAACACTAGGCCAAAATAACCACATGCAATAAACTGCATGAGATTAGTATAAATACTTAGTGTGTACCCATAGATTCCATTTTCATTCAGATATCTTGAGGTCAGAGGTCAAGGGAACCCTTTGAAAATGGCCATGCCAGTTTTTCCACCCCGACATGCTAGCATGATATGGTTGGTACCAACAGATGCGTTAGGTCATGTAGTTTCATATGATACCAGCATCTTCACTCTAGAAGAAACACTACTGCTTTTGTCCACAGGGGCCACCAGAATAAGTACAACAGGGAAGTTCCTTGTAGAGGCTTTAAGTAAAAGTAACACTATATTTAAGTAGATACAACATTATAAGTAAAAGACCTGCATTCAAAACCGTAAAAGTGCAGAAGTATTATCAGTAAAATGTATTGAAGTAAAATCACTCATTGTGCAAAATATGGCCCCTGAGATGTTTATATTATTATAAATGTTATTATTGGATCATTATCACTGAGACATTATCATGTTATTCGTATGGTTGATATATGGTGGATAGGGTGCTTATTACAGTTTGTACCATATTGTACCAATTGTGTTTCAGTTGATATTGAGTTGATCTGTTTAAAATAATAAAGGCTGTCAAATCAATATAGTGCAATAAAAAGTACAGTATTTCCCTGTGAAATGGAGTATAAAAGTATAAAATAGCATATGTGGTAATAATCAAGTAAATTACCTAAAACACGTCAATCTGTAATGACCTTATCTGAATAATTTGATCAATTCCTGAAGAAGTAAAATGATCCAGTGACCTGTAAGAAAAAAAAAGCCAAGAGTTAAAGAACCAGTGTGTAGGATTCGGTGGCATCTAGTGGTGAAGTTGCAATGTGTTGGCAGCTGCCACCCCTAAATGCCTGGCCACTCCAGCTGCCACCCCAGTTTTTTTTTGTTCAAATATCTTCATTTGGGCGCTTTTCAAAGCAAATATTGATATATGTGATTCTGATTAAATCAGATTATATTTCTGCCACCCCTTAAAGTTTCCATGACACCCTCTGGACACCTTATGGATATTTCTCTATATTTGTCCCTGGTTTTATCTACCATATGGGCACCCAAGGGAAAATCTTTGCAGCTGAACATGGGGGCACCAGGAGGGCTGATCACTAGCCCTGGTGCCCTCAAAACCTTGAGAATGGCCTATTTGCTAAAACAGCGATTTGCTTGTGAACTTTTACGTACCAAATGTAGCTTTCCCGGGGTATGTTTAAATCTCCTTTTTACAGACATCTCCCTCTTCAATAGATGGATGTGAAAACACTTCTCTAGTGACAAACTGCACACAAAAAGGTCAGTAAGCTCAAAGTCAGAAATTTTAGGAGACAAATAAAAGAACACACATTTTTGTTAAAGAATAGTGGAAGAATGTAACAAGACAGTAGGCCTTAGAGTGCACAGTGAGGAAAACACATTCTGTGTGTGTGTGTGTGTGTGTCTGTGAGTGTGTTGGCAGGGCAGCGGCTGCTGTCCAGTGATAATAGAGCTTTCCAAATATCTCTCGCCTCATTACATCTGCGGCGACAGGGATCCTTGCATTCAAGCGCTGACCCAGGCCAAAGTTCAGTTGCTGTTTCCCAGTTAGCGTGTGTGGTGGGATACAGCGAGGCTGTGTGAGTGTGTGTGAGAGAGAGGGAGAGAAGAAGAGGGAGGGGGAGAACACCCAAATCTAGATTGTGACTGGTGGTCCGATTAAAGATAAAGAAGGGTTAGTTCTTCAAAAAAAAAAAAAAAAAAAAAAACCCAGGATGTTTTCTTAATTCAATTCAATTCAATTCAATTCTATTTGTATAGCAACAATTCATAACAGAAGATATCTCAGGACACTTTACAAATCTAGACTAGATCTAGACAGTACTCCTTATAAAAATATTCACAGAGACCCAACATTACCACCATGAGCAAGCACTTGGCGATGGCGGCAAGGAAAAACGTACTTTTAAGAGGAATAAAGCTCGGACAGACCCTGGCGCTAGGTGGGTGGCCGTCTGCCTTGACCATGACCCGCTACCTATACGATGGGTCAGCCCCTTTTTGTGCAGCTCATACAGTAAATTCAAAAACCATCCTCCAATGTCATTTAGTTCTGTTGGAAGCTTTATGATTAAGTTGCAACAAAGGACAAAATGGACTGGATGAAAAGTGTGTTCCTAAGTTGGCAGCATCAATGAAAATCATATGTTATAGGGCTAAAGTCCCGCTGTAATGTTCCTTCACATGTTGTTAGGTCTGTTGTGCCCCTCCTGCATAACCCAGCACAGGCTGCAGTCATCCAGGAATTATCCTGTGCCCCTGCAGTTACTCTTTCCACTGATGGATGGACCTCCAGGGATACAGAGAGCTACTGAGCTGTGTAAAACTTGACTTGACTTTTGATTGAATTATTGAATTATTTTTAAAGGATGTGGGAAACATGAATGAGGTACATTGTCACACATTTTACCTTTTGGAGTCACACATTTGGAGTCAATTTATTTTTTCAATTTAACTCAATTCAATTTTATATGTATAGCGCCAATTCACAACAGAAGTTATCTCAGGACACTTTTCAAATAGAGCAGGTCTAGACCGAACTCTTTAAAACATTATTTACAGAGACCCAACAGTACCACCATGAGCAAGCACTTGGCGACGGGGGCAAGGAAAAACTGCCTTTTAGGAGGCAGAAACCTAGGACAGATCCTTCGGCTCTAGGTGGGTGGTCGTCTGTCTCAACCAGAGAGAGAGAGAGAGAGAGAGAGAGAGAGAGAGAGAGAGAGAGAGAGAGAGAGAGAGAGAGAGAGAGAGAGAGGTGCACAGCAACAACAGTAGCAACAACTACACTAATAGTAGTGACTGATGATGATGAACATAAAGAAGATGATGACGATGACAACAGCGACGATGGGGGATAATGAGAGATGACAATACTAACAATAGTAACTGTGGCTGTGGCTCAGAGGCAGAGCGGGTCATCCACTAATTGGAAGGTTGTTGGTTCAATCCCTCCCTCCTACCGCCACATATCCTTGAGCAAGATACTGAACCCTGAATTGCTCCTGATGCTGTGCATCGGTGTGTGAATGTGTATGTATGAATGAGTTAGTTTCTTTTCAATGGCCTTTGCCATTGCTGAGTGAATGTGTGTATGAAAGGGCGAATGAGGCATGTAGTGTAAAAGCGCTTTGAGTGGTTGGAAGACAAGAAAGGCGCTATACAAGTACAGGTCCATTTACCATTTAACTGTAGTAATAATAATAATAACAATAATATCAGTGATATTGGCAATGGCAAGCTAGCAGGACCATGGCAGGAGGCTCCACCAGGATCCATGACAACCTGCGAGACGAGAAAGCACAAGAACTCCGGGGAAGAAGTGAAGTTAGTAAGTTAGTTTTTCCTTTTCCTTTTTTTTTTTTGCATCTTCACTATGTGGGGAGGGAGAAGTGGTGTGTATCCATGTGTTAAGTTACGTAAATGCTGTTTAACCAAGTGTTTGCGCCATGGACGCATTGTGTTAATTTCTGAGGATGTACACAACCAACAGCCCTAATGGATGCAGGATAATGCATCATGTGTACGCAAATGTATCATTGAAAGCACTCTGGCTTACAGATCTAGTGTGGACATTTAGGAGGATCTATTGTCAAAAATTGAATATACCATTCACAGGTATGTTTTTATTAGTGTATAATCACCTGAAAATAAGAATTGTTGTGCTTTTCGCTTTTACCTACAGTAGGATTGGGGCCTTTTTTGGTGCATGTTGAATCGCAATGTTTCTACAGTGACACAGAAGTTTTTTGGTCTTTTCGTGGCCACCATAGTTTCTCTTTCATGCTCAAAAGGGCAAAGCAAGAACTATATAAGGAACTACAACTAACCAGCTGGATGCCACTTAATCCTACACACTGGTCCTTTAAGTAAATCATAAATATGTTACAGTACAAAATAATTACTTATTTTGTACTGTTGCACCCCTAATGTTATAGGAATGATGGCTAAACTACATAATTATGAATATATTGTGGAATATCTATACTGCAATAAAAAGGAATTTGTTTTTAAAGTACTAGGTAAAGGACCAGCTTGATGAAAGCACCACAGAGAACTTAACTCTTAACTGGGGTCACCAAATCATTAAGGAACCCTCACGGGTCTATAAATATGCATGCCAAATGTCATGGACAGTTGCACAGTCTCAGTAAACAAAAGCAGGTGTTACTGTTGAATAAACTTTTATTACAGCACACAAAATAAAAACAACAAATTTAGGAAAACAACATCTCAGTCAGGGTGTCTTACTGAGAACAATGACAAAGGCAAAGCAAGGATTCCTTTGGATATCAAAATGTACCCTCTCTCCACCTCTGTGGAAGGCAAGAACAACAATACATGTTTTTCTGTTACAATAACAATTGCACTCATCATTGCCTTACAAAGCAGCGTTTGTATGCTGCGAAATCAAAACACCAAAGACTGGTGAATTTTGTACTTGAGTTTTGCATTACTTGTGTTCCTGAATCTACTACATTCACATCTTTTCTTGTCTCACATGAAATTATGTGACACATTATATTAATGGACATACAACAATGTCAATTTGACAACTATAAAAAGTTTACCATGAGTGAGCCAGGACTTTATTCCTAATTCCCTTGTTTCCTAAGCTTATTTACCAGCTGCAACAGCAGGACTGGTATGCTTCCACCTTGAGTCTGTGTGTCATCAAATGTTACCCTGGAGACCACTACTGTGGCAGGAACTACCACAGAAGTGGTTTTGATCATTTTATCAGGTTTATATGTCTGTCTGTCTGTTTATCTTTGGAAAGATACTGCCAAAGCGATAGTGTCACAACCGGAAAGATACAGTCACAATGCGAGCTGAGATCAAAATGAAGGCTGAATTCGAAGACGGGTGTGGCCCGAGCAAGGCCCCATTGGCTCCATTACTTAGGGTCCTAGCACCCTTTTAATGGTTGTGTTTCAGCTCTCACAGGACATCCTTATTAATACGCCTAACCTAAGCACACACACACAGGACTCAGATGTCAACCCTGATCTCTAGTGTCACAGCTCTGCACTTTTAGCAGTTTATAATGTCAACTTAATTTCTAGGAGACAGAATTGTGTTTTATAGGAGTTAAAAGCCAAACTGTTTTTCAATCTTGTTCTGATTTGCTTTTCTCAACATTCTCTCCATGTTTACTTGCTGTCTTGATAAATTCAGTATAATATACATTTCAATTCCAACAATACATACTCATGATTGTGCTGTTTCTCTTTTGTACAGACATACTGTTTCCGCACACTGATTTTTTTCAAATGGCTCCTCTACCACTGTCAATAACACTTCCTGCAAAGAGGTTTCACAATAAATGTCTTCCACCCGCTTAGAGCATGAGAGGGCACACTTCCTCACATTCTCCTGCTTACCTAACAGGAAGACTTGAGTTACATTGACAGTAGCTATGGAAGCAATGTACTGATGGAAATGTGGAAATGTACATTATGCTATGCTATTATTTGACATTATCTGATTGATGCATGGCAGGAGAGGGAGAGCTGGGGGAGGCCCTCCAAACCAGGAGATGAAAACTTAATTTGGAACCGTCTTATATTTTGGATAGTGTCTGTGAACAGTTTAAATCTTTAGGACCAGTATTTACATACTTCATATTGGAATGTTATACAGGGTCTATGCGAGAACATAATATGTCATGTTAATATCTTAACCATGCAAATGAGTAGAGAGAAGGTACCAATGTAAATCACTGAGCTCCTCACACTGCAGTCAACTGTGTTCACCAAGTAAGCAAGAAACGCAAAGTCAAATTCTTATTAATTACTTATTTACTTTAGCTGTTGATGGAGGTGCCTATCACAGTGTCAACCTCCAGTCTGTTTGTAGCAGACAAACTGCTGAATATTTTCATTACAAAATATGCAGTATATACAGTGGCATTTACAAGCAATTTTTAAAAAAAATTCTAAAAAGGAAAACTCTTTCAGTGCAAAAATGTCTGCTGAAAGTGGAGCACAGACCCAAAACATAAACAGAATAGAAACAGTCTCATTATAAAATGTTTGTCATCAGGAGTCGTATGCAGGTTTTAGGTAAGCAACAACCTGCCTGCGAGGCTGTAAAGGAACCAATTCATTATTGCTGTGCTTTGTGGATTTATGTGGGTTATAAGATTCTAAAGCTTAATTTCACCCTGAGGAACAAAAAGAAAGAATTGCAAGTTACTGAACTGTTAAATATATATGTATATATCATCACTAATAACATGACAATTCCCCAAGGGGGCTTGTTTTCTTGCAGGCATGAATCAAGTAGTTTGAGTGGGTTGTAAGACAGAACTGTAGTTAACGTTACATAAATAATGTCCTTAACCCCACAACTGATGGGATTTACAGAGGGAGGAAGAGGGCATGCACTGATGTCAAATTTTATATGAGACCACCTGACCACCCTCACCGCCACTGTGGACAAACTCCGTTGTGGAAAACAGAGGCAACTGTAAAAGCCTAGGTTAAGGTCATCAGATTGATGTGCACGATGTGACAGTTGGTCTGCAGGTGTTGAAATGTGCCAGGACAGACCCCATCTCCCCCTGGTATTAACATATCTGTATCTGGATAATGATATCTGATCAGAACAACTTGAGATTGTTTTATAACATCTTAGTTTGAATGGTAGGTTACCATTGTCTTAATATTGGTGCAGGAAAAAACAAACTAACAACTAAACTAATCAATCAACCAATTAATCGTCAATGTAGGATGTGTTTGCCAGTCGGCACAAGCCTAAGCTGGACCCTGGCAGACTACATGTTGAAACTGATGTCACAAGAACAAAAAAAAGTATTGGAGAAGCTTGCTAGCACCAGTGCTAGCTTGGCTAACCCCATCAGTTATGTAATTCCTGCAGTGATGCTGTTGCATGTGCTTCCTTTGCAGAGGAAGGACTAATCTGTAGCTTTTTGGCCTTCCAACTTGTTTAGTATATTTTATTTCTTAAAAATGTTTCCAAACTGTACAGACTTCATTTACACCTGGCGGGGATCAGTACAGTACAGCTCCTCAGGTGGTCTGGCTGATCCAATCTAATTCCAAGCATTTACACCTAACACATCCAGATACAGACTGCATGTTAATACCGGGTGTCAGTTTCCTGTGACCATGGCAAATTTCTCATATGGTGACATCACATGCAAACCCTGCAATATGATTGCTTCATGCAGTGGTCACTATGACACTCCAACCCAAAATCTTCATCAATTCCTGGACAATCTAATACAACCCTGCAATGACACTGTGTTTTGTAAAAGATTGCATTATTTGGTAAAATTGTCCAATCTGTGTATGCTTACAACATGGACCAAGTAAGCCACTTTTTAGATTTTTACCCTAATTTTTGACTCCTGTGAAGAGACCATGTGAAGATTCTAACTACAATCTGAGTGTCAAAGACCCTCCCCATTATCACTCTCTGCAAATAAGACTCATCATGTCCACTGGCTGTGACAGGAAACAGGAAACATCTCCATATTCAGTCACTGTTAGGCTCCTGTCTCAGGGGTCGTTTCAATGTACAATGTGAGGCAGAAAAGAAGACAAAGAGCAAGCAGAGCCACCAAGTTCAACAAAACATCACTTTTTTCATGAACATCAGTCTTTCAAGACGTCATCATCCATTCAATCTATTCCTTCATCCATCCATGAACTCAGCATCACTTTGTTCCTGCACACATGTATACACAGTAACAACAGCTGAAGTACTGGGACAATGAGTTCAACTTGGTCTTTGTTGTAACCATCTATGGTGACATTTCCATAGCCATAATTCTGTGTAAGTAGACAGATGGTGAAAACCAAATGGTAACAGTGAGATGCTTTCATGTTAGAATCATTCTATATTCTATGATGGTTACTTGGATCAAGCTAAAACCAGGATGCTAGAGAGACCAGATTAAGAAAGTGGCACAAGTCCAATGAGTTTATCTTTTTTAATGATGAAGATGATGCTGGAAGCTTGGTGACAGAGTGACTATTTAGGCTTATAATTCCCTGAATATACATGTAAACGTTGTGAATGCAGGTTTACACAGAGAAGGGTGTTATGGGTAACCATAGGTCACAGGAGAGACGACAAGATAATTGGTTAATCCAATTCTTGTCAGGAGGTGGGTTTGAAATGTCCATCCATTCATTATGTATATATGGTGCCTATGCCAGGCGACACTGGGCGAGAGGCAGGGTACACCCTGGGCAGGTCGGCAGTGCATCCTACTGGTAACTTAAGAGTCACCAATTAACCGAAATGTCTTTGGACTGGAGGAAACAATGCAAACTCCACACAGAAATGTCTCTGCCGCTTTGCAGGTTCAAACCCAAACCTTCTTGCTATGAGGTAACAGTGCTAACCATCCATGATGTCAGGGTTTGAAATGGAAAAATAAAAAAGCAAATGTTGTACTCCAAATCATCTATACAAAAAGTAGCCACACCCGCTCTACCTCTGAGCCAGAGCCGTGCTAGGCTTGTCTATGTGGAAAAGACAACCACATTTTGAAGATGATTAAAAGTGACATATACATATACCTAATCCACATTCATATTTGCTACCTAGTTCCATCTGAAAATCAATTGCTAAACAGTGAGCTTATCAGCGAGCTAATGATGTTGATTAGCTAGCTAGTTAGCTAGTGTTTTGACAACATATGTCGACTTGATCTTTTAACTATCTTTAAAACGTGGTTGTCTATTCAACATAGATTAGCCTAGCACATAGCATATCTAGTACAGGAAAGAACAAAGTTGACTGACGTTCCAGAAGGGGTGGGATTTAGGATGGGTCAACTGGCGGAAATGTATTTGTCGAACTCTGAGACTGAATCATTTGATGGCAGCAATTACAGTCTGACATTGCAGTATTTTATCATGACAGCATGGAGCTTCTTCAGGACCCCAGATCCAAAGGCAACACGAAACTGGGTTACAGCAATAAAACACAATTTTCTTTTGAATGGTATCAGTACTAGGGGTAGATGATATACTAATATACAGTATTTATCTAGCTAGACATGGTGAGGAAAAACCCTCGTTACAGAGCCTGTCGTCTCATTGTGCATAAGCAGCATCTTGCATCATTACTACAGCTGAAATATGTCAGCCAAGGTTTCAAAGTGAGGTGTAATAAAGAAAACTGAATCCCTGATTTGCTGCACAGATTTGACAGTAACCAGGTTACTACTATGATTACCTGATTTCTCAGAGTAACCTGGCTTCCTGTGTATGCAAATGTCTCATTTGAAGCTTTTAACATGAGAGCCATGCTAAATGGATGCACAGCTGGTTAAAGCGGAGACGTTGGCTGGGTTGTTCGTTATTGAGTGAGAGTGAATGATCATTAAATCTACGAGATGATCATCTAGAAATAGCAGTTTCTAATAGAATAACTTAGATGATCAAAATCTTGGTTTCTGTAGATTAACAACTGTTATTCTTCAGTATGAAATGCAATATACATAAATAATATGCAATATATATATATATATATATATATATATATATATATATATATATAAACAATATAATAAATAATAATTCCACCTTCACCAATGGAAAACAGAAGTGCTCTAATGTAATTTTTCAGTAGAGGTGTTATCATGCTGGATGTATAATAGGGCTTTCTCATAACACAACAGGAAACTAGGGATCCACCGATTTATCGGCTGATATTGGCCTTGTTAGCTGACAACAGCCTATTGGCAAATAGGATGGCATCCACCGATATCAGTGGCCGATGTTTCTCTGTTATGTTGTGTCAATTTTGCACTGGCTATATGTTGTATTGGTTATTTCCAACTTGGACATTCCAGCATGAGCACAAATTTCACGCAAAGACCTACTGATGTGCTCCATGCAGCAGCACAGACAGTGAATGACTGTTCACACAGCTTGAATAAAAAGAGAAATAGACTGAGCTGCAACATGGCAGAGACAATTAACTTTGTAGATTTATTTGTTTCTCTGGCAGAAAAAGGGCACATACATAACAAAATAATAAAATATTGACTATAGGCCAAATTATTTCAAACATAAGTATAATATCTAGTTTCATAATTGGTGTGAAACAGTTTATCCCAGTGTTGACCTTTGACCTCATTGTCCCAGTACCTGTGTCACGTCCTCTGCTGTACCATTCTACCTCCACAGCTACAATCATTACACTCTCACACACAATGTACAAAACATAGTTTGTCTTATCACCATTAAAAATAATTTACAAACACTTTACTATTCACTCTGTGTAGAGTCCAGTAAACTGTTTGGTGTGTGTGTGTGTGTGTGTGTGTGTGTGTGTGTGTTATTTACATTGAGTATTCAGTCAGGTATAACAGTAAGGAGAGGATATGACTTCATGTCTGTGTGTGTCATATTGGCTGAGAGTCTGTTCCCTGCATGCCTTGTACAGTGTGTGTATTGCTGTGGCTTTATGTGATGTGTGTATGTACACTGTCCATCTGTCCCTTTTGTGTGTGTGTGTGTGTGTGTGTGTGTGTGTGTGTGTGTGTGTATAAACTCCCTGTGCAGTTCTTTTGCCTGTCATTGTCATGTGTGTTTTCACTATGTGTGTAAATCTCCTTCCTCTGTGAGGAAGTGTTTTGGCAGTTCAGTGTGTCAATGTGACTTCATGCATGTTTCATTCTTTATATTTATTTGTGACACTCACTCCTGTGTGTGTGTGTGTGTGTGTGTGTGTGTTTATGAGGACATGCCATTGACCAGGCTCCTCAGCTGTTTGACCACAGTCTCTATCAGCTTCTGTTTGTCTCTGTCGTTCTTCCTGAACTGTGAGAAGATGTTGTTCTTCTTACTGGTGTCCTTCATTCTGTACACAGAAAGAAACAGAGTCAAAGGGATGAGTCCCATTAATGCATTCTCTCAGTGGCGCACTCACTCGCTCGCTGATATTGTTGTTACTTTTGAGGTTTACGGTGTACCATGCACAAGGGTGTACACACCAAAAATTAAATTGTTTAATTGGTCATGCATCTCCAAATTTGAGTGACTAGGATCTAGGAGCTGCGTGTTGGGCTTTACATTTCAGGTTGGACGAGTTCAGTTGTTTTTCTCATTTGTTGGATACAAAAGTTAAAACAGGCATATGTAGACCATGCCATTAGTTTATTACAATACAAGTAGCAAATAACTTAAAGTTGCAGTAAGTAACTTTTATAAAAATAACTGTCATATTTGCTGAAATTTGTACTGTGTTCCTGACAGTAGTACATGAAACAGATAGTCTGTGAAAAATCAGGTTCTTCTGGGCTGTTGTAGTGCTCCTAATGGCATTTGCAAGAATCCCCTGGGCCTGGACAAAAACAACCAATCAGAGCCAAGAAAGATAGTTGACAGTTGATTGTTGTGTCTCATTTACAGGTTGCCAAATATCGACGCTGGGAATGAAACTCAACAATCAATGATCTTTAAGCCACCCATCCAAAGTGTCAGCAAGCAGCTTTAATAATAATTATTGGATTTTTACTATGAATATGTCTCAATGATTTTAAAAATCCAGTCAATTAGTTTTGAAATGCTTTAAAAAAAGATAAGATCTTACAAATTTACATTTGGGTAAACAGTTGTTGTAACGAATGAAACAAAGAGAGAGTGGGTTAAGTTATAATTAGGATAGTAGGAGGTTCACATGGAGGCTGGAAATTCTTAGACATGACACAGTATTTATTTTTTTTCTCTTCTATATCACTTACACTATTTATTGTTACATTTATTTTGATGTAACTATGTGAATGTAAACTTATGACCATTTATAATGCGTATGGTATTACCGCAGTGAATAGATGATAAGTTGTTATGCAAGCCATCCCAAAATTTCAATTTGTTGACTTTGATATGTAATGTATCCCCCCATAATGAATGCAAATGGTAAAAAAAAAGGCAAAAATATGGTCACATCAAAAATTATCCTGTAAGCTATGGATAGAACAGGTTCAAGGTTCAAGCAGAAAGTCACTCAAATCAAACAGATGTTTAGTGTGTGTATTTGTGTGCAGACATTTAACCTTCACATAAACAATAATGGAATTTATTAAAAAAAATATTACGCCTTAAGTCATTCTAGTGTAGAGTAGGCAAAATAAATGGTTCTGCATATATCAGAGGGTACATGGAGAAGACCAAAGAAAAGGACTGAGGAATCTGCACCTACCCTCTGTAGACTCTGAGCAGCAGCAGGAAAACAGAACAGAAGAGTATAACCAAAACACACGCAGAGGAGGAAAACAGACAAAGCAGCCAAACTAATACCGAAGGACGTTATATGCTCTATGCAAGAGTTAATGTAATAAAATGACAATAATGTGAAAGAAAATGTGAAAATGTTTATAAAAGACTTAAGAATATGAGTTGATCACTAACATTTTAGAGGAATATCTGGGGTGGCAGACTTTAGCATGTTTTCTGTAGTTTATCACAATCATATTCATGACTCCTCATCACTCCACCATTTTCAGTTTCAAATTGATGCGTAAAAATGTAAATTCTTAAAAAAGTCTAAATATCTAAAACAAGTTGGTGTATCAAAAACAAAATGCTACAAAGTGTAGTCCTCACATTAATTTGCATTTTCTTTTACAAATTTTCTGGAAACTTGTTTAAAACTTGCATGGAAACTTGAATTTGAAGTAATTAAATATGTATTTTTAATTTAGGACAAAGACATTTTAGTCTATTTGTTTCTTTGTGGCTCTTTACATGCTCTAGCAGCACACCCACATTCTAAGCCTCACCCCTGCACAAAGGTGAACTGTCAATGCTACTTGGCGTTTAAAGAGAAGCATTTACGTATCAGATACACTCACTTCTCCAGTAGAGCCAGGGCAGTAGCTGGGTTCACTCTCAGGTATTTGGAAGTTGGCTGGCCATAGTCTGCCAGGTAAGTGGACCAGTCCCACACCATGAACAGGTCCAGGAGCTACAAAACACACAGACATGTACAACACTCAGATATGCAACAGTCTCAACTTCGAGAACTTCAGAAAGAACCTCAGAGAGGAACAGAGGAAGACTGAGGCTTGTAGAGGGTGAGAGTTTGATGGGGGAAGGTTTTGAAGAGGCAAATGACTGAAGAACTGAGGGGTTTGACCATTGTTGGACTGCAGCAAAGCAGCCTGTCCCTGACTTACTGACTGAGTGATTTAGTTACACCATTGGTTGGTTGATTGTTCCCCATTGGTTTTAGCCTAGTCTTGTTTACTATCTGTTAGGATCAGCTGTCAGTCAGCACTGGACTGCTATCTAGTCTGTGTAAGGCTGGAAATTGATGAGCGTAGTTGACACTAGATAGCTTATCTACAGACAGACTCATCACTCTAACAGCAACTTTTTAAACATGAAAACAATACACTGAAACACCAAGCTGGTTTATTTTATGCAAACTGGATGCCGTTTGGGAAAATCAAAATTTTAGGGGGAGGATACACTATTTTAGACTTGACAGAGGACTGACACAGAGACAAAAAGATGTGTATGGGTACATGTAAATGTAGATATGCTACACTGTACATTGCAGTACTGTATCATCGTTTGTTCCATGAACTCTGCCTGGTTAGTACCTGGTTTCAACGATACTTTAGACTAGAGTTTCGATTCTCTTCCCGGCCCTTGATCAAGCATTTGTGTTATTTTTTTTATTTTTATAATTATTAGCCTAATTGGATGGGGAGAAAGCTATGGCATAATCAGAAATATTATATATATAGTTTTAGCAAAGTAGGCCTAAGTAACAAAAGTTTCACAAGTTAGGCTACAAAGTTACAAAATGCAACACATGTTATGCGCAGCGTCTCCTCCACTCGCACGTATCACACCGGGCTGGGCATGCACTGCTGTATTGTGTAGCCTAGCTTAAGTGCAACTAAAAACAGGAGAATTAACTTTGAACAAGTTTGGAGGAAAGTCGGAGGTATGGAATCATTTCAAACAAGTCGTGGTCAGTGACAACATTTGTGTTGGCTTTGTCGAATGCATTAGGTGCCGCATGCTGCTCGCTTATGACAGCCAAAAAGCTAAGTTACATTGCAATAACGTGCCATTATATCACCGACGACTATACATTAGTTGGTAAAACTCTCACCACAGCAATGTTTCCCGTGGAGGACGCTAACAGGGAAAAATATCAGACGCGAGATAGTGCGCCTGCTGGTCAACACATTTGGCCTCGACCCTAGCTCCCTCAGCCGAATAGTGTGGGTAACAAATCAAGGCAGCAACATAATCAAAGCCATGGAACCATATAGGAGGCTTTCTTGTCTCGATCACCTAATTAACACTGTCCTTCACCACGGTCTGCATGCCGATAGGAGAGACCATATCTGCTGCTAAAGGACTCGTGAGATATGTGAAACAATCTGGCCTGGTTGCGCAATTATCGAACAGATGGGGGGGGACACAATTTAGCACAGTTTACCTTACACTCAAGTCAGTGCAGGACATATACCCAGAAAAGATATCTGAAGTACATGCCCACGTTTGCACCCTACTCTTGCCTGTGGAGGAAGATGCTGCAGTAGCTTACAATGCAATGCAATGAGCAGTACTGGCTTCACACCACCAGCAGCCAGGCCCAGGAGAGACTCCGACTTTGCCGAGTGGGAGAACCAAGACGATGATAACGAACCAGATGAGGATGAAGTAGCCATGTACATTTCACAGAGGCATGCCATGGATGACGACAGGGACCTACTGAAATGGTGGAAAGTCAACGGATTGGTGTACCCAAAACTAGCAAGGCTGGCAAGATCCGTCCTCTGCATTCCAGCAAGAAGCAGCAGCAGCAGCAGCAGCAGCAGCGAGCGGGTGTTCAGCGCAGCTGGCCGAACGATAGAGTAGAGGAGGACCGCTCTGAAACCAGCAACTGTGTACGCAATCTTGTTCTTGCATGACAACATGTAGAACCATGTAAGTAGGCTATAGCTTTGTGATTAATATGCTATTATATTATGTTATGTTACATTTATGTAGCAGGCAGCATATAGCCTTGGCCTAATCAATTCCCCACACTTCATCTACGGGCTCATACACAGGCAGGAGGCTCAGAACTGACGGGCCCGTCAACCTGGAGTGTTTGAACCTGCTCAGTTTAATAAGACTTTTTCATTAGTCTAATCCAACGTTACTTTGTTAATTTTGTATGTTCATTTTCTTTTGGTATTGGAGTGTCATCATTAGCCCATCCCCTTAATCCCTCGATGTGACTCCGCGTTTTGCACTAGGTCAAGGCCTACATTTTAAAATATTAAAATAGGCCTATTTGTTGTGTTTTCAAATTATTCTATTTGTATTAACTTTGCAAACTTATAGGCCTTTAAGAGTAGACTAGGCCATCCACAGTTCATTCTTGTAGTTGAGAACGTCAGTTATTACGGCCCACGTATTAAAAAATTGTAGGGTTTAAATCGGGCTCGGGCTCATAATTACAGTTATTGTGTCGGGCCGGGCTGGGCTCGGACACAACGTGCACAGGCTCGGGTAGGGTCGGGCTTGATTTTTTGGGCCCGATCGAAGCTCTACTTTAGGCCGACTGTGAAGCTGTTTGACTGGTCTCTCGCTGAATTGGCCACTGCAGTGTGACGTCGGGTTACGTTTCTAAAAAGGTTTATTCTGTTCTCTGCAGCAGGTTGTTGCATTTTTTCACCCCCTACCACAGCTTAAACGACTACCCCCATTCAAGATGAATAAGAGGACTGGTGATTTCACTGCAGCACCTAATTTGGTTGGCCCTAACAGAGCCAAATCGACATCTGTGCAAAATGGGGGAGCAGGCAAAGGCACATACAGTTGTCACACCAGACGCCAACGCTGTTGTGTTACATATCACGCCTCCTGTCTTTACAGCAGTATTGTAGGATCTCTGTGTAAAAAAGGGCTTGTGATGCAGAGGGAAGACAGAGTGAGAGATGCTGAGAGAAGAAGGGAGGAGGGAGGGGCTTCTGCTGCTACATGATGAGTGTTGACTGTGAACAGGAACATTTCAAATGACCCCACCACGAACCCTGGTTAACCTGACGGAGATGACCCCCTACCCCACCCACACACACAGTGTATGCTAATGTCATAGGGTGAAACAGCTGGGTGTTTGGGTCATGTTGAAAGAGCAGTGAAAGAACAGCTTAGTGATAATAGCATTATTCAGCTGACAGAGACTGCGACACACAGAGAGAGGCTTAGCAACAATGCCATTATTCTCACCTGGAGCTAACTGATGAGCCACAAGCAAACACGTAGAGGGTGCCACATCTTACCCTGACACTCACTGAACTCTCCACAGTTTACAACTTTTCACAGATTAGAAATGAACTGACTTGGTATAATAATTTTTAAATATATTTTTTTTCTTCAGAAATGTGGCCAAAGGTTCTATCAGTTATGATAACTTAGTTGTGTGCACACAATGTTTCCTGTGCAGTGAGGTTTTTTTTTAGCCACAATTCAGGTTAACTCATTGCAGCCTGACAGATCCTAAATGTATGAAACAGGTACTAATATTGATATTTTTCAAAACCACTCAAAACCATTATCGTACATTAGCAATGTGAGTTAAAGGTTTGCTACATTTGCGAAAAATGTGCATTAACACCATGCATCTCAAAGGAAAAGTTTTTTTTTTTTTTTTTTTTTTTTTTAAATCTTGCCGTTTCCACAAAACTTTTGTAATGCAATACTTCAAAATACAAATCAAATTACAGAAATGCAGCTATTGTAGCATTGCTTCAGTTTTTCCACATCTCTGTAATGTGAACTTAAATCATCATTACATAAATTAAATCATAACTGGTAGATCCGATGGCCAAACCAACGAAAAACAAAAGCCAAGCTGGAGTTATCCTTAACAGCTAAATGCATCATGTTATATGCTGTGTATTGTCTGTTTGCAGTGTTTCAGTGTGCAGTACAGCATCTATCATAGGCTGTTAAAATAACACACTCTGCAGGGGCTAATTACCCTCACATTTGGTTATTAGCAGGAATGTCCCTTTTATGTTTTCCATTGACCTGAAGCTTTTAATATTGAGTCTCTGCTCATAAGAAGACCATTTGTACAATTAATGTGTGTATATATATATATATATATATATATATATATATGTATATGTATATATAGTAGTATATAGCAAACAATTATGGGGAAGAAAAAAAAATCAGCTTTTGGCATCAGAGACAGAGAGAGATTGTGGCTGTGTGACTTTGTGTGACAGTCAACGTCCCGTAAAGGTCTACTGGTAATCATTATGTTTAATGTCCCCTCTCAATAGCGAGAGTTCTGGGTAGTGATTGAAAGAATGGGATTGCAGATACAGGCGGCCAAAACATATTTTTAAGGGTGCCTGGGTGAAAAACTGCAAGTCCGCAAACATGATAACAAATAAGAAAATAAGTTTAGTATTACGTTTTATATTTCGTATTTTCCAAATTACGGTTTAGTTTTAGCTACTGGTCTAGAACCCAAAACCACAGTAAGGTTTGTGGTGAGAAATGTACGGGTGGTCCCGACCCCTCATAAACTCACGTTGGTCTTCTCTATTCTCTTTTGGGAATAAGAAAATACTGACAATTCCATGAAAGTTTCTCATTTGAGCAGATACACAGAAAGAAAGACTCTTCGTATTTATATGGAAGGGATTTCCCCTGCTCACTCTTATGATATGTTACACCTAGTATCTACTGGAAACGATTGTAGCATCATTCCAGCATGACATGAAATTAATATTTGATTATAAATATAATTGATAATATAAGTCAGATCATCTTGAAGATGTTTCTCTCTGTTATGGATATGAGATGTGGATGCTGTTTATCCTTTTGCCCTGCCTAGCACTCACTGTTGCATCCTTTATAAAAAAGGTTGGATGGTCTGAGAGATAAGCATATGTATTTGTTTATCTTTATAGATAAACATTTCTTATTAGAAATCTC